CCGCCGCGGCCGCCCCGCCGAGCCCCGCAGCCCCAGCCTGCTCTTACCCTCCTTGCAGCTCTCGTCTCCTCTCTCCACCGTCCCTGGCGCCCAGGGGCCCCCACCAGCTCCCCCGAGCCTCCGAACCAGGGCGTCTTTATCGCAACCGGAGCCCGGCCCCTTCTCTCCCGGGAGGCAGCTTCGCGCCGGCAGCCCCCCTTCCTCTGCGTCCCCCGGCTGCCCCTCCGCGATGGGCTGCAGCCCCGGCCGCGATCTCCTCCTCTTCGGCTGGTGGCTTTCCATAGGCGCCAGCAAGTGTCCACCCAGAGGCGCGGGGGGGCTCCAGCCTGAGCCGGCGCCCCCCACCGGCCAAACCCCCCGGCCCCCCCGGCCGGCCCCCCCGCGATGGGCTGCAGCCCCGGCCGCGATCTCCTCCTCTTCGGCTGGTGGCTTTCCATAGGCGCCAGCAAGTGTCCACCCAGAGGCGCGGGTGGCATCCAGCCTGAGCCGTCGCCGCCTACGGCCATCTCAAGGGGTGCAGATGGGTGCTGAGATGCCACCAGCTCTGCCCGCTCACCGGCTGGCTGGCCCTTGGGCTTGTTGGAGGCACTGCGGTACCGCAGCTCCTTGAACGTGGTCACCTCTCTCTGCCTGGAGCTGGGCGGTTTCGCCGGCCGGTCGTGCTGGAGCTGGGGCCGGGCTGGCTCCGGGCCCACGGCGCTGGAGAGGAGCTCACTGGGGGGCGGCAGCTCTGTGTCAGGTGAGAATACGATCAGCCAGTCGCTCCGGTCAGGCCTGGCCTGGGCGAGAGCAGGCCCAGCGGCGTTCCTCTTCCTCTTCTGGGCAAGCTCGTGGAAGGAGGTGATGGTCTTCTTGCCCGCGTCTCTGCAGAGGGCACCCGAGCCGGGCTCCGGCTCCGCCGGCTGCGCGGGCAGGAGCGGCTGCTCTGCTCTGTGCGCGTTGAGAACCTGCAGTCGTCTCCGGGGCCGGGGGGGCACGGGCGGGGGGACGCCGCCAGCCCGGGGCCGTGGCTCAGGAGCACCGCTCAGACCGGGATCCCACCATCCCGGCACCGCCTGCGCCGGAGGCGCGGCGTCGGGGTTGGGGAGGGAGTTGCAGTTAGGGTCTAGGTTGGCGCAGGTGCTGGCGGTCTCCTGCACCGCCGCACTGGGAGAGGGCTCCTCGCACTGGGAGTCCAGCGAGGTGCTGCTGCAGAGGCTGTCCGGGCTCTCTCCGGCCAGGGCGTCCGATCTCTGGGGCACCGGCGGGTTGAGGTTGGCGTCTCTGCCATCACGCATCCCGCTCCGGTCAGCCAACGCCTGGCCGTCCCCGGCATCTTCTGTGGGAATGACGTTGGGCTGATTCTCAGGGGACTGGGACTCTTCTCTGGAGAACCCCTTGTAGTAGACGGAGACCGGGGAGTCATCCAAGCTGAAATCGGAGCAGCTACTGACAGAGGAGGAGGAGGAGGAAGCCAGATCACAAGGGGGATCACAAGGGGAAGCCACCTCCTCCCCGGCATGCAGGCAGGGGAAATCCTCTTGAGCCGCCTGGTTCTGGAGACCCAACGTCACCGGCTGCGGAGTGTGGGACTCGCAGCACCGGCATTTCAAGGAGGGATTGTTGGAATTGGCATCCACTTGCTCACAGTTCTCCGGGCAGTCGCTGCAGCCGGTCTGGTCTCCTCCGCCCATGGAGGCAGAGGTCTCCTGGAGCTCCGGGTGCCGGGAGAGGTGCAGCCCCAGGGAGACGTGCTGCAGATGGATGTGGTTGAGGTTGCAGAGCAGGCCTTTCTTCGGAGCCAGCATGATGCTGCCTCGCTGGGAGTGCCGGGGCTCCTCGCAGAGCCCCCCAGCTCCTCTCTTCAGACCATCCAGCTCCCTGCAAACACCAAACGCCCTTTCGGTCGGCGGGGGAGACCGCGGCAGCGCAAACCCGGAGGGGAACGAACGCGGCGAGAGGGAGGGTGGTGACCTTGCGGCAGCCACCGAGCAGGGAAGGGCCGGCGGCGGGGGCTGGAGGTTCAGAGACGGGAACGCAGCCAGCGGAGAGGGGCTGCCCGCTGGGCTGGGGCCGGGCCGGGCCGCAGCC